CTCTGTGTAGCTTTGTGCCTTTCCTGGAACTCACTCTGTAGACCAGGCTGGCCTCGAACTCACAGAGATCTGCCTGCCTCTGCCTCCTGAGTGCTGGGTTTAAGAGTATGTGCCACCACCACCCGGTAAAACTCCCCTTCTTGGAATAGGAAAAGCCAGTCCTGGGGGCTGGTTGCCCACTCCTTCTGGGGCTGCCTGTATCCTGTGTCATCTCACCCACTCTCCCTGCCCAGATTCCAGGTGACTTCATGTCACCATAGCTACTATGGGACCAAGGTCACAAGAGACCCTGCAGCGCAGAGCAGATGGTCATCCTAAGCGGCTCTGGGGATCAGCACTGTCATCCTTGTTCAGGAGGAACTCAGATTTAGCCAGGAACACAGTGAGACTCGAAGAGAGCAATAGCAAGGCCCGGAAGTCTCTAGAACCCACCTGGGCTCATTTCACAGACGCTATGTGCTTGGGAGTTGTGGCAGGTGACCCTGACCTCTTTGGAGTCATGCCGAGGTCTTCTGGATGCTGTCCCAGCAGGAGGCTATGATGACCCAACTCTAACATATTGGGTACAGCTGGGTCCACAGCTGTACCATGCCCTCTCGGAGTCTGATTAGCGGTCAGAGGATTCCTGGCCTTGGGGCTTCTGTCTTTGCTGGTCTCACAGGCTGTGGGAAGAACTCCTGAGCCATGAGGCTGCCCACTCTCCTCTCTTCCACTCATGTGGGACCAGTCCTGATGACATCACATGAATGCTTGCTCAGCCTCTCCCTTAGATCCTGCCTAGCCTGCTGGGCATGCTCAACCCCCACCTCCGACTTGTCTTCCTTGGTGGTTTGTGTCTGTGGTCTGTCTCTCGGCCTGGCTTTCAGGGTTCCTGTGTCCTGACTGCACCTGATTTTCTGACTTGACTCCTTGGTTTCCAGAGTGTGTTCAGGTCAGAATGGTTTCCCAGGCAGGCTCAGGCCGTCAGGCTTGCACTGTCCACTCTGGGACCCATAGAAGGCTGAGTTAGCCAGTGCCTCCCAGACAGAACCTCAGAACCACCCACAGCACTTTTAAAATACATTCCCAGCCTGCCCTTACCTTCCTCATCAGAGTCTGGAGGGCAGAACCCAGGGGTTTGCCCAAAGTCAAGCAAGCAGAGGAGATTCTGGAATACCACTGGGGAGTTCTCTCTAGTAGGGGAGCTTGAGAGAGAAATCTCCCTGGATGCCGCCTTGCTGGTGGCACCTCTCTGTAGTGACACCTGCTCCCCCTCCACCCGGACACCTGAATGTGGCTATGGGGTTCCAGAGCAAGAACCATTTGTGAGCCCTTCCTGGAATTCCAGCTGCACCTCAAGCAGCTGTTCCGCTGTCATTGCTATGATCATCACCACTGACACCGCTATCATCATCTCCGTTATGATCGCTACCATAATGACGTCAGTATCATCATCATGACCACTATGACCATGTCCATTGTCATCATCATCATCACCATAATGATGTCATTACCACCATCACCATTGTCATCATTATCATCATTGACAATATCATCACAGTTATTATCACCATGATGATGATGTCACCATCATTATCACTACCAGCTTACTGTCATCCTTATCACCACAACGATGACATGATCGCCATCACGCCATCACCGCAATATCACCATCATCATAACTGAAAGAGTTAAATTCCTCACCTGGGTCTGGCCTGACACCCGTGTTTGTTAAAGGATTAAACGAATCTCCCTAAGTAAAGCAGGAGATAAGACATTTGCCTTAGGGACTGTAGGACATGGAAATATAAAGCCTGTTACAGTGGGGTTATAACCTTAGCAAGGTAAAGCATGAGGAAGTAAAATCTGTCACACTGGTGATTAACTCAGGACATCAGATGCGTCCTCAGCTTAAGATTGTGCTGCCTGTTCTAATTGGCTGACCCTTAGTTAAACTCTTTTGTAAACGTGCAGTTCTGCTTTTGTGATTTTGGGGGACATTTTGTCTGTCCTGATTGGTTGACCTGTGGTTGAACCCCTGTATCTCTGTATTCCTTATATAGTGTCTATGTATCTCAGTGTCTCTTCTCCTAGTTCAGTGGGGAGTGAGTAGGCCTGGTGGTGTGACGAAGACTTTTCACTTTTACAACGCCACTGCCCCTAACAGATTCTTTGATCCAAAATGGGGGAAATAACAATAACCACTATCACCACCACCATCATCATCAGCATCATAATGTTACCATGGTTACCATGACAACATCATCAGTGATACTACCACCATCACTACCACTCTAATACCACCATCATCAGCAGCATCATAATGTTACCATGGTTACCATGACAACATCATCAGTGATACTACCACCATCACTACCACTCTAATACCACCATCTTTGTCATCACCCCGCCATGATCATATCATCATCACCATCATCATTATCATTGTCATCATCACTGCTATATCACCATTATCATCACCACCACGATGATGTTTTCATCCCTGTTGTGACACTGTCATCACCTGTGAATGAAAAAAAAAAGAAGTAAAAGGACATGACTACTCCTAAGGGGTTGAGGTTTTGATTATTGATATAAGGGAGAGCTCAGACACGGGCAGAGGCATCTGGGGGAGTTTAAAGTGAACACCATGTGAAAACTGAACCAGGTCATGTGAGGAGATGGGGAAGGGGAGAGGAGAGAGCCAGGAGACCAGGAGACCAAAAAAGAACCAGCAGCCAAAATGGCTGAGGGAAGAGCATTCCAGCCATTGGGTGGGAGAACCTAGCATGGGGGTGAGGCATGCCAGCCAGGATGATTCTGTAACAAGTACTGGCCAATGCTGAGACAGGCGGGTGGATAGTGTCCCCTTTGATATATCAATAGGCACCTCAGTTAGCCATTTGTCCCAGGTTTGAGATTTCACAACCTGATGAGATCATTGCCATCACCACTACCACCAAGGCTATCACAACAACATCATCACCACTAACACCTTTCTAGTCCCCTTTCTGTTGTTTTAGTAAAACTCTCTGAATAAAAGTAACTTAGGACAGGGAGGGGTTTACTTGGTTTACACTTCCAGGTCCATCATCATTGAGAGAAACCATCACTGAGAGAAGTCCATCACTGAGAGAAGTCCATCACTGAGAAAAGTCTATCATTGAGAGAAGTCCATCACTGAGAGAAGTCCATCACTGAGAGAAGTCCATCATTGAGAAAAGTCTATCATTGAGAGAAATCCATCACTGAGAGAAGTCCATCATTGAGAAAAGTCTATCATTGAGAGAAATCCATCATTGAGAG